TTGGGGCTTGGGGTTTAGGGTTCAAGGTTTAGGATTTCTGATTTAAGGTTTGGGTTTAGGGTTCGGGTGTAGGGCTTGCAGGCTTTATCAACTTCTAGCAAAAGGGTTTCGGACGCTAAGGAATGCTAGTTTTATGGCTTGGGGCTTCGGGCCTCTGATGAAAGGATTACCGCTTGGGGTGTAAGGTTGAGGATTTTTGGTGTCACGGTTGAAGGTTTGAGACCCTTTTTTCGGGGCTTCGATCTCTCTTACTTGGAGGTTCACGGGTAGTTATAAGTGGGGTTATCAGTGGGTAACTATACTTATAACCCTATTGGGGGAACCCCTAAACCCTAAACCCTAAACCCCACTCCAAGTACCCAGAACCACGTTTTCCAGGCCTGGTTGCAGTCACAGGGTTTCGGGTTGGGAGCTTGGGGGTTCAGGGTTTGAGGTTTATCGAGAGAAAGCGTTGGAGTTAGGGTCTGGGCTGCGGCCTTTCGAGTTTAGGAGTTGGGGTTTTGGGTTCCGGAGTTTGCTCGGGGATTTGGAGTTGCAGAGCCATGCAAAATGACCAGGAACGGCTTGAAAAGCAACGCCGGCAGTCCCAAATCGGTGGGTCGGAAACCTCCTGAGCCTGAGTCCCCGAAACTCGGGTTGAGGATTTAGGGTTCGGAGTTTATAGGCTCACGATGAGTACCCTCAACCCCCTGAAACCAAAGCCTGAAAACCTAGATAAAGCCCTGAACCATACCAAAACCCTAAACCCCATAAACCCCTAAACCTTAAACCACCAAGGTAGCTTAGTTTGCAACATTCCTCGCTTTTTCTTCAGTAGCGGAATAGACTCACAGGGGAACGAGCCTGAGAACGTATAGCGTCTAAGGCTAAGGGCTTAAGGGCTTCAGGGCTTAAGGTCTTAAGGCTTAAGGTCCTAAGGCTTAAACCCTAGACCCTAAAACCTAAACTTCAGGACTTGGGGTTCTCGAAAAGCCAGCCTTGGTTCTCGAGATTTCGGGCTGAACTCCACCCTTGCAGACTTGGAACCTTCCTGCAGACCGCAGGTAGCACAAAAACCGCACCGCCCAAGCTGACTGCATCATAGACTCTGGGAAACTATTGTGGTCTTGCATATGAGGATGCACGACTATAATATACTAGGTAATACCATAATATACTATAGCATGCTGTACTATATCAGAATATAATGTACCATCATAGAGTTCCTCCAAGTGGGGGTTTCCAAAAATAGGGGACCCTAGTTATAGTACCCTAAATAATAGGATCCTTATTATAAGGACCCCAAAATAAGGTACCCCTTATTTTCGGAAACTCCCAAGTCGCTGCGCGAAGCAGCGGCTCGGCCTGGACATCTCCACTTCACTGAGCAAAGGACGACCTCACCCAACGCATCCCAACCATACAATACATGCTAGTCTACTATAGTCTACTATGGTCTTATAGTCTTAGACTAGTTTGGTTTATGACTCATGACAGTATACTGAAGTTTATTAAAGTATATTATCTTATATTGTCGTATATTATAGTATGATACCGTATGTCATACTATGCTCTGGTATATTATGGTGCGTTATACACAGCGACGCTAGAAGAACCCTAGCAGCACATGCAAGTACCACGAGGGAGGAACACATAACGGCTATAGCCTAGACATGTAATGGCAATACGGCAGCCTCGTCCGGTCTGCCCAAGCGCTTGCGGCTCTCTGCCAAATTCAGCGCGGCTGTGGCGGTGGCGGTGCTCTCAAGGCCCAGGGCCTCCAAGAAAACCACGCCTTTCTACTGTCTGGGGTGTGGAGGTCGTCACACAAAGCAAGCACGCGCCTTCGAATACCCCTTGTGGGCTCGCCGGAAGAGCACCTGTAACGAGTCGAGGAGGCTCCACATGTTTTGCAGAGGCTACTTTGGTCACTGCTCCTGCTCCTCCCTTCTAGAGACAGGACCATGATAGATAGTCGTGCCAGCAGCATTGGTGTTTGCAACAGCATCACAATCAGAAACTTAGCACAACCCCTATCGGCATATCCTTGTTATAAGTACCGCCAAAAGGGACCCCTGAATTTCTGAACACCCATGGCAGAAGAGTTTCCAAAACCCTTCCAGACGAGCCTCGTTTCGAGTCGGATCTTCCTCGTACGTTAATCTAGCCCAACAGCCATGCTAACTAGCAAGGCTTCATGGTAAACCCCTTCAACGAAGCCCTATCCCCTAAAAACCCACACACAACCCGAAAACTACTCTAATCCTTGACCCATACACAACCCCTACTCTAATTCTTAAGTCCCCGATGTCAAGCCCAAACCCCTAAACCCTAAACCCTAAACCCTAAACCCTAAACCCTAAACCCTAAACCCCAAACCCCAAACCCAAACCCTCGTCGCACCTCGGCCTCCTGGGGCCGCTGCTCGACCAGTGCCAGACCCAGCTGCGACGCGCAGCTGAAAACGTCACCTCGGGGCTTTCTTGGGTTTAGGGTTTAGGGTTTCGGGTTTAGGGTTTAGGGTTTAGGGTTTAGGGTTTAGGGTTTAGGGTTTAGGGTTTAGGGTTACTACAGCTAGTACATTATGGTATCTTGCAGTATAGTGCAGTATATCATAGACTTGTATGCGTAGTCTGTGTAAGGCCCCTGAATGCAGGGTTTTTTGAGGCTTCGGGGCCGTTTACACGACGTGTTCAGGGTTCAGGGCTGTTTATGGGTCTTCGATTCTGAAAACTGTGTTAGGTTGGTGCTTGCCGCGGTAAGAACAGTCGACATCACCAGACCTACAGCCCTCACGACAGCTCAGCCCCAAAAAGTGCGAAGGTGGAGGAATGATGCTGATGGCATGGTCTGGAGCTCAGGAACTGGCGGTGCTGCTTGCCAAGCATCCTGAAGGGCGAAGCATCGGCAGCACGGCCAATTATTCAGTTTGGCTTTGGGGTTTCGGAATTCGGGTTTAGGGTTTGGGGTTTCGGGTTTCGGGTTTAGGGTTTAGGGTTTAGGGTTTAGGGGTGCTTGGTGGGATTTCCAGAATACCCCGACTTGAAAACCCGAAACCAACTCGGCAGAGCCTCGCCATCCCCCGGCAGGCTGCCCGGAGCTGCGGTTCTGCCTTCCGGGTTAGGCTTTAGGGTTAGGGTTTAGGGTTTAGGGTTTAGGGTTTAGGGTTTAGGGTTTAGGGTTTAGGGGATCCCAAGGAGTATCAGGAGTGAAGTGGCATGTAGAGGGCTTCGGAACCCCAAAATACAAACAACCCTGAAACCTAAGCCCTGTAGACCCTAATCCCTAAACCCCCATGACCCTAACTCCTACTGAACCCATCTTGCCCTGCGACAGACGAAGCACTCAGCTTCAATAGTTCTCGCCTCACATTGACATGGCCATGAGTCTACGCACGGCATGCAATGAGTTTGAGCAGAACAACTTGGAGGTTCATGGGTAATTATAAGTGGGGTTACAAGCCCCGTAATATGGGTTATAATTATAGCTACCCTACTTAGAACCCTACTTATAACTACCCATGAACCTCCGAGAACGGCCAGGCACGACAGTGTTTGTCAGCTTCTCAGCTGCGACTTGCCATCCTGTGCCCATCTGCTGGTCGCGGGCACCTTCCCGTCCGACATCTGCCACAAAGGTTCGGCCTAAATTCCCAAAATAGAGGCCAAAACGGGCCTAAACCCTAAAGCCCTAAAGAAACGGGCCTAAACCCTAAAGCCCTAAAAAACAGGCCTAAACCCTAAAGCCCTAAAGAAACGGGCCTAAACCCTAAAGCCCTAAAAAAGGCGGAGCTCAGGACAGCTCCCCGCCTCTCTGAGGCGACCATGGTCTCGCAAGGCCACGCCCAGGGCCTCAGCTGAGCTGCGGAACCGCCCTTCCCTTCCCTGGGGTTCTTTCGAGGGTCTGAGGTTTGGGATTTAGGGGGTTTTTTTGTTTTAAGAGCCCTTTTCGGTACTTGGATTTAGGGTTTAGGGTTTAGGGTTTAGGGTTTAGGGTTTTGTTTTTTATCACCTCTTTTCCTT